GGCCCTACAGGAGAGGGCGTGGGCCAGCCTGTGACAAGGCAGCTGGGGAGACCCTGAGGCCACAGTGATGTGGCCTCTGCCCACCTCACCCTCCCACAGGTCCCCGCATGGCAGTAAGTCCCTAATCGTCCAATAAAGCTGCTGCCCTGGCAGGGAGGCCCCGGGAAAGCAGCAGCAGAGAGGGACAGGCCTTTTGCAGCCAGCCTGGAAGAGGCACCAACCTAAGCAGATAAAACTGCCACTCCTCTCCCTGAGCCAACCAGCACCCCCTGCTAGCACGGGGGCAGGGGGGCTCCAGACCCCACTCCCAAGGCAGCCCCAGCCAGGGCAGGGAGGGTCTGAGCCAGTCTCTGCTCCTCCAGACAGCCCACTCGCAGAGTCCTTCTCCCCAGGCAACACAGGCCAGCACCCCACCGGAGCACCCACCCAGCACTGGTCTCTACCTCAGGACACAGCCAGCAGCAGCAGAGCAAAGCAAGGCGGCACGCAGGCGTCCGACCCCAGGCAGAGGCAGCCACCAGCCGAGGAGCCGTGCTGCACTGGCTGCAGCTCAGCTCCCACGCACGCAGGGACAGCCCAGCCAGGGCTGGGGCAGGACGGGACTCCAGCACAGCCCAGCTGGGCCAGGAGACCATGCAGCTGCCCAGCCAGTTATTTTTAAACCCCAAACTCTCTCCAGTGCTGTCATTTCCTTATCCCCTCCTGCAAGTCCTGGGGGCTAGCCTGGCAGCAGCGGCCCCACCCCTGCTGCCCAGGGTCTCTCAGCCCAGCAGGCTGCCTGGGCTGGGGAAAAGGGGACCGAGCACCCACCCTGCCCCACTGGAAGCCACAACGCTTCAGCAGCGGCTGCAGGCAGGATCTGGCCTACCCAGGCTGTGCCGTCACCCACAGGGCTGGGCTGCAAGGGCTGCAGGGACACGAGGGAGAGGACACCTGGCCCTCCACCGCCCCAGTTTGGGTTGCTGTTAACGAACACCTCCAAGCTCATCAGAGCTCTGCAGATGTGCCGCCACCCTGGCCAGCCACGCAGTCAGCTGGAGCCAAGCAGGGGAAGAAAGGTGCACCCGGCTGACCGGCACCCTCAGCCCTGGGGCAGCAAATCTGGGCTGTGGCTCTTCAAGTCATGCACTTCATCTGAAGCCCCTCCACGCTCCGCGGGGTGGGCGAAGCACACCCTGGCACCTGGAGCTGGGCCTGCGCCACCCCTGCTCGTGGGAACCACGTGCCAGTAAGCCAAGCCCCAGCCCACCGAAGGAGAATTGCTCCGCTCCCCAGGGCTCCCCCCATGGCATGGCCCCCGTGCACCAGCTGCTCCGTGGGTTGGAAAGGGAACAGACTTGACTCGTGGCAGCTCAGCACTAGTGGCACAGGACAGAAAGAGCCAAACACCAGGGTCAGGACTCGTGTCCATGGCTCCATCATCAGGGGAGTCTGGTGCTTGCAGCTCACCAGCACACACCAGCACATGTCAGTCCCCAGGGAAGGGGCAGTCAAAGTCCCCCGCTGCCAGCTCAGGACCCTGGTCCGCCCTGTGTGCGTCCCCTGGACCTTGGACCATGGTGGGGAGCAAGCTTGCGGCAGGGGACGGTGCAAATCAACCCCATACCGTGCCAGCTGGTGTCATTCAGAGAAGCTGCAGACCATGCCAGCTCCCCAAGACATGGTGTGGTGCTCGTCACGTGGGGCTGCGCTCCCTGGTGCCAGCGGCAGCTGGGCACTCCTCCTGCACTATTGCACCTCCAGCACCACAAGTGTCACTGGGGACAGACCCGGGCCTGTTCCCCGCAGCACACTGCGTCCCCCCAGTACAGCCTAGGACCTCTGGCAGCTCAGCTCATTTGGGGAAGTGCCAAGGTGAAAAGCCTCTGCACCGGGCTGGCAGAGAGGAAAGCGAGCTGCAGGCGAGCTGCCCTCCCCCAGCACCCCCTCACCCCACTCCGGGGGTAAGGACAGAGCTCTGATTGTTCCTGCAAGCAGACTGTGGCTCTGCCTGGTCATCCGACTGGATTAGGTCTGCACAGACACTGTGGTGGCAGCCAGGAGCCAGCCAGCCCACATGCTTCCAACCTAATCCCCACAGTCCCTGTCCTCAGCAAGGGCAGCGCTGATCCCGCGGAGAGCAGTGCCAGTTCACCGCTCCTGTGTGCCCTCCTGCCACCGCTCACGGCCAGCTTGGCCAGCCCCAGGGCCAGCAGACTGCCCATGCTCCTGCCTGCATCCCTGGGAGCAGGGGATGTGCCAGATGACAGCAGGGGCTAGCGGGGACCTGCAGCCCAGGGGTATGGGAGGTAAGGTCACTCCTCCCTGGGCTGGGGCTGCTCATCCCCATTGTCCTGCCAGAGCAGCCCAAGGCTGGCACCAGCACCCAGGCCCTTCCCAGTGCTCCCCATCCCGAGGCTGGGGCAGGCAGTGCCTGCGCCCCCTCCTCGGCACCAGCCCCAGCGGCATAAACCACCACGCTCCTGCCTCACTGATGCAACTGTCCCTCTCCTCTGACCACCACCCCCAACACTGTCATTTGGGTGCCCTTCAAGGTCACTGGCACCAGGCACGGGTCCTGACATCTCTCTGCTGGAGGGACTGCTGGCCCCAGGGACTGCTTGCTTGTCCTGGCTCCACAGGCAGCGGTGGAGCAGGGAGTACGCCAGGACAGCACGCCTCCGAGGACAGTGTCCAGACCCCATGCTGAGGCCAGGATCCTCTCAGATAAGGACCCTGAGGGCCTCTCACTGGGGCACTGCCAGAAGCACCCGGTCCCCCCCCTTC